CTCCCCCTAAGAGTTAAGATCTTGCTCTACTCAATCTTATATGCAATCTAGAATTTCCTCTCCCGAGTTCAATCCTAGATTCGTAGTTAGTATTCAATTGGTGATCAAGCAATCAAATAATTAAGCGCAAGATTGAACAATAAACCAATATGATAAAATAATAAGAACAATTCAAGCTTCAAACTACAACGTTCATGTAGCACCCAAAACTCTAGAACTAATAAACTATGAAACTAAAGGAAGAGAAGAGAAGAAAAACTAGTTCGAAGCCTCCTCCAAGTGTGGTGTGTGTTCCCCCACGTGAATTCTCCTCCAAAGTATGTTAGATATCCTCAAAAGTGGCGTCCCTTCCTTCAAAAAATAGGTTTAGTCTTGCTTTTATACATATTGGGTAGGTCTAGGGCCGAAATAACCTTGTCCCGGACGAAATTAGACAAAATTACGTCACCGGCGCCCAGCCCGGCGCCAGGCGCCCTCCACGGCGCCCCATTAAAGTCAGCTACTGTTTTTGGCGCCACAGGTAGGGCTGGGCGCCAAATTCGCACATTGCCCGATTTCGCTCGTTTTGGCTTAAATCTCGCGCGTTTCTTCCCCTAGTTGCTCCCGAATCATTCCTACACATAAAAACACTTCAAATTAATATAAATCATAGCATTTAACATCCCAAATTCACGAAACAAAAGTAAAATATGAGGCGATATACATAGAAATATATATACTTTAAGCTAAACATCACTTCTTCTTCAGGATACGAATAAATAAATAAAAGGGCAGCCTAGTGCATTAAGCTCCCGTATTGAGCAATATACATACACACACACACTGTACATACACACACACTGTAACACAATAGACATGTATGCTTAATTATTTCACATGGTAGTTAAAGTAGTTAATAGAGGTGGTTAGGAGTAGTTAGTGGGCCAGCTCATTGCCAGCTAAGCTAGTTTACATCTTCTTTTCTTCTTCATTTTTCATTTGCTTATAAGTAAGCACTTGTATAGATACAGAGTTTAGTTTTCACAGAAATGAAGGAATTTTGGTTTCTTCCAGAATGTTCCCTCAGTTCCAATTCTCCCGTGTGAGTTAAAGCTCATTTCAATGGCTTCCTCTCAGCTTTGATATGGTATCAGAGCACAGTCTCGAGGTCTTGATCTAATTCCTCATTCCTTCTTCGATTTGATCTTCTTCGATTTGGTCATTTCTTCGTTCAATTTAGGGTTCTTCAGATCGCTATTCATTTTTGGTAATTTCTCTGAAATTGAGTCCTCTAACCACCAAGCTCTCAATCGACTACTTGAATCATGGCCGGAGAAGAAGAAGTAGCGGATTCAACCAACAATTCAATCAATGCTCCGTTGAGCTCAACCAGTCCACTTTACATGCATCCATCGGAGAACGCAGGGAGCACTTTGGTGCCAACTCCTTTTGATGGTTCTGGATACAGATCATGGAGAAGAGGTGTGTTAAGAGCTCTATCTGTGAAGAATAATGTAGGGTTCATTAATGGAAAATGTAAAAAAGCCAGATGCAAATGATGCACTCTTTGATCAGTGGGAACGGTGCGACGACATGGTAACCTCGTGGATATTGAACTCACTCTCTAAGGATTTAGCGGATAGCCTACAGTATGTTAACGATGCAAAAGAGCTCTGTAAAGAACTAGAGGACAGGTACGATCAAACAAATGGAGCAAAGCTATATCAATTATAAAAGGAGATTAGTGATTTAAACCAAGGAACTTTTGATATTACTGGATATTACACGAAAATGAAAAAGCTGTGGGAAGAGTTAAACATGCTGAATAGTCATGCTCGGTGCAGTTGTCAATGTGTGTGTGGAGCTAAGGCCAATATGCAGAAGGCTGAACAAGACAGGAGGCTGATCCAATTTCTCATGGGACTAAATGAAGTATATACAGTTGTCAGGGGTAGTATACTGATGATGAACCCCTTGCCTAGTATAGCACAGGCCTTCTCCATTCTTATTCAGGAAGAGAAGCAGAGAGAAGTCAAGTCTCGGAATCAAGTCATGATCGACTCTACTGCTCTCAATGCTAACACTACAGGTGTGAACACTTTTAGGACAAATTACGGTCAAAACTCTGCTGGAACTGGTGGTTTCAGAGGAAACTACAATCCTAACAGGCCTAGGCCCTTTTGTGAGTATTGCAAGAGGCCGGGAAATACCAAAGACAAATGTTATAAACTTCATGGATACCCACAAGGGATGAATAGGCCCAATAACAATTCACAGGCCTTCAATAAGTTCAACAGAGGAAAAGTGAACGATGCAGATACAGGTGATAGGGTGAACACTGGAGAAAGAGAAGAAGGGATGTTGCAGGAGCGAGGTTGAAACTTGCATAGTTTAACCAAGGAGCAGTATGGCCAATTGCTGAACCTACTGGAGAATTTTCAACCAAGAAATGCAGGGGAAAATACTGGCAATGCCAACCTAGCTGGTGGTGCTGTTAGCTTTGTAGGTACTGTGACTTGTTGCAATTCTTTTGAACATAGTGATCACTCATATGATTGTTTCGAACCAAATACTGACTCATGGATCCTAGACTCCGGTGCCACAAACCACATGACCTTCAAGAGATCCTTGTTAACCAACACCAAAACCTTAGTTTACCCCTTCCTAGTGACTTTGCCAAATGGTTATAAGGTGAAGGTGACACTCATTGGAGATGTTGTTGTTAGTCCCAAATTCACTTTAAGAAAGGTCCTTTTTGTACCAAGTTTCAAATATAACCTAATCTCTGTTCATTCCTTAACAATTCAGCTTGACTGTATTGTTGCATTTACCAAGTTTGCTTGCTTCATTCTGCAGGCCCCTTCAGTGAAGAGGCCTCTGGAGATTGGTAAAGCAATTGATGGTTTGTACTTTCAATTCTCAAAGTCTATGTCTAGTACTACTTGTAATTCTGTGTCTTGTTCTTCCACTTCACATCACACACATGTAAATAGAGTACCTTCTCATTCACAAACCGCTGTACATAGTCCAGAATTGAATAAAGGAAGTGGTGATTCTGTTCTGAATGTGTTTGTTAATGGTGTTGATACTGTTGATTCCTTGTGGCACAATCATTTGGGACATGTACCTTTTGTAAAGATGAGACGTATCTCAACCATACCAGTTAAATTTGCTCCAAAACAACCCTTTATGTGTCCCACATGCCCTATGGCTAGACAAACAAGATTGCCCTTTCCTCTGAAAAGTTCAACCTCAACCAAACTCTTTGAATTGTTACACATTGATTTATGGGGCCCCTACCATGTAACTACTCATGATGGTCACAGATACTTCATAACCCTTGTAGATGATTATAGCAGATCTACCTGGACACATTCTTTGGGCAGCAAAAGTAATGCTCTATGTGTGATCAAAGCTTTTTTCACTATGGTAGAAAACCAGTTTGGAACCTCAATCAAATCCATAAGGACTGATAATGGACTGGAATTCATCAGCTCCGAGGCTGCTTCATTTTTCCAATTAAAAAGAATTATCCACCAAAAGACTTGCCCCTTCACACCCCAGCAAAATGGGGTGTAGAAAGAAAGCATAAATACTTACTTGAAACAGCCAGCGCATTACTTTTCCAGTCCAAATTACCCCTCAAATATTGGGGAGAGTGTATACTCACCTCTACATACTTAATAAATAGACTACCTTCATCCTCCATAAGCAACAAATGTCCTTATGAACTACTATACAAGAAAAAGCCCAACTACACTCATCTCAGAAGTTTTGGTTGCTTATGTTTCAGCACTACACTTAAAAACCATAAAGATAAATTTGAACCAAGAGCCACCCCTCATGTTTTTGTGGGATATCCATCTGGCTCAAAAGGTTACAAAGTCCTAAGTTTGGTCACAAGGAAGATACATGTGTCAAGAGATGTAGTTTTTCATGAGAATGTGTTCCCTTTCCATCTGTCTTTCAATTTTAATAGCATATCCTCTCCTGGGAAGTTTCCTTCCGCGCAAGGGGGATTTCCTAATGCTCCAGTCTTTCCCTCTGAGTCTTATGTTCCTCATGAGTCCTCCATTGCAGTGTCACCTGAATCACACCATGGTGCAGTGTCACCTCAACACAATCATGACCAATCATCACCTATATCCTTGCACCAAAGTGGCAACATAGAAACTGAATTAGCCCCAAGTAATCAGGACCAATTCCATGCTCCTGACCTCACCAATTCCTTTGAGCACCAGAGTCCTGACCAATGTAGACCTGCTAGGCCACACAAAACACATGCTTATCTAAAGGAGTATGTATATTCAATCCCAAATCTCCAGACCTGTCCATCTAACCAAAGTCAAGAAACACAGTCTACTTCTTTCACTGCCTTTTTGCCAGATAAATAGCATTTTTCCTTTCATGCATTGATTCCTGAAAGTCAACAGATGGTAAGGAGTATTTTACATGAGTGTGAACCTTGTTCATATGAAGAAGCAGTCATCAATCCTGCCTGGCAAGCAACAATGACTCAAGAATTTCAGGCACTATATACAAATCACACATGGGACCTAGTTCCTCTCCCTGACGGAAAGAAGGCTATAGGATGCAAATTGGTGTATAAAATCAAGCACAAGGCAGATGGAAGCATTGAGAGATTCAAAGCTAGGCTGGTTGTCAATGGATACACTCAACAAGCTGGAATAGATTATACAGAAACCTTCTCACCAGTGGTAAAGATGACCACTGTAAGAGCTCTTATAGGGACAGCAGTCAAGAAGGATTGGAAAATGTTCCAACTAGATGTGAATAATGCTTTCCTCCATGGAGACCTACATGAGGAAGTTTATATGGAGGTACCACCTGGTTTAGTCATAGAGAAACCAGGCTTAGTCTGCAGGTTGAATAAATCTCTATATGGTTTGAAGCAAGCCAGTAGACAGTGGTATGAAAAACTTGCAGAAGCACTGTTTTCCAGGGGTTATACTCACTCATTATAGGACTACTCCTTGTTTCATAAGAAAAAGGACAACACAATGGTGTCTGTGGCAGTATATGTAGATGATGTCATACTCACAGGAAATGATCTTGATGAGATCAACTCTCTGAAGAAGTTCTTGGACCAAACTTTCAAAATCAAGGACTTGGGGATTTTGCACTATTTTTTAGGGCTGGAAGTGTTATATAAAGAGAATGGGGTGTTGATCTCTCAGAGAAAGTTCACTATGGATCTGTTAAGGGAGTATGACTGCTTGCAACAATCCCCATTGTCATCTCCTCTTGATCCCTCATTCAAGTTAAAAGCTAACCAAGGTGTTTTGTTGGAGGATCCCACTCAATACAGAAAGTTAGTGGGGAAGCTGAATTTTATCACCAACACCAGGCTTGATATAGCTTTCAGAGTGCAACATCTTAGCCAATACATGCAGAGTCCCAGAGATACTCACTTAAATGCTGCATATCATGTGTTGAGGTACTTGAAAGGTAATCCAAATCTGGGAATATTTCTGTGTAACAACACAGATTACAATATCAATGCTTTTTGTGACTCAGATTGGGCTGCCTGTTCAGAGTTAATAAAGTCTGTTAGTGGTTACTTAATTCTACTTGGTGGAAGCCCAGTTAGTTGGAAGTCAAAGAAACAGTCCACCATAGCTTTGTCCTCAGCCGAAGCAAAGTACAAATCAGTTAGAGCAGTGGTTGGTGAGCTTGTGTGGCTAGTTCGACTGTTTGAAGAGTTCTCAGTTACACTGTCTCTCCCAATTCCAGTCTTTTGTGACAGTCAGGCAGCCTTACACATAGCTAAGAATCCAGTTTTTCACGAACGTACCAAACATATAGAGGTCGATTGTCATTTTGTTCGAGACAAGCTTCAGGAAGGATTGATTTCCTTACACTATATTCCTACATCTGATCAACTAGCTGACATATTCACCAAGACTCTCACATGGATCAAGCATTCTACTTTACTAGACAAGTTGGGTGTGAGTTCCTCCCTTCCAACTTGAGGGGGGTATTGAGCAATATACATACACACACACTATACATACACACACACTGTAACACAATAGACATGTATGCTTAATTATTTCACATGGTAGTTAAAGTAGTTAATAGAGGTGGGAAGGAGTAGTTAGTGGGCCAGCTCATTGCCAGCTAAGCTAGTTTATATCTTCTTTTCTTCTTCATTTTTCATTTGCTTATAAGTAAGCACTTGTACAGATACAGAGTTTAGTTTTCACAGAAATGAAGGAATTTTGGTTTCTTCCAGAATGTTCCCTCAGTTCCAATTCTCCCGTGTGAGTTAAAGCTCATTTCAATGGCTTCCTCTCAGCTTTGATATCCCGCTACACGCGAGGTCCGAAAAAAGGCCGGACCACAAAGGGTCTATTGTACGCAGCTTTATCCAGTATTTCTGCAAGAGGCTGTTTCCACAGCTCGAACTCGTAACTTCCTGATCACATGACAGCAACTTTACCAGTTACGCCAAAAGTCCCCTCCCGGATACAAATATTGGACTAAATTTTAGACCACTAACCGCTAGTGTAATGGTGAAGTTTGGCTATAGAAATACGAACTTCAGGCCAATGATGTGTAGTTTATTTGTGGTGAATAGAAAGAATTTTTTGTTAAGAGCAACCACCATTACACTCAGATACACCAAATCAACCACCACAAAGTCATACATCATAATTTCAGCCAAGAACTTGAAACTTTCTTTTTGCTTTAAATATCTGTTTATTTTATATATCACCTCACTATTCATATCATGCTATGAAAAGCATTTCCACTCTCTTTGCTTCTTCTCCTTTCTCCTACCCATCTTGGCTTCACGTTATGTAGATAACTACCAATATAATTCTTGTTTCTCAGTGATTCTTTGCTTATGGTGCTTAATTTCCATTTCTATTTCTCGTATTGTTTGCTTCCTTTTAGGGATTGTGCGGGTTTATATAGTATATTTTGGTGAACGTGGAGGAAAAATAAAAAGGGAGTAGATATTTACGGAGAGATAGGTCTGTGGCTATGAGTGAACTTTTTAAATATAAAAAACGGAAAAAGGCCAAAAATGTCTTTAACGTATTAAAAATGGCTCAAAATTGCCCTCCTTCCACCTATTGGTTCAAATTTGCCCTTAATGTTATTTGCAGGCTCAAAAATACCCCTCTCTTAACGGAAATATGGCATGGCATTAATGGGCATTTTAATTGAACATGTGGCATTTATTTAGTTGTCCACATAGATTTTTTCTAACCCAACCCAAAAGATCCGACCCATCTTTTAATAATCCATCATTTTAAGATAATCAAAACCACTTCTTGGCTGCAACAATGAGCAGATGAACTGGACAATAATTTTGTTTAAGCCTGGTAACATAAGCAAAAGCTTCATTATTTTAACCCAGTATCTTTTATTTCAAGGTTCTTATTTTCCTCCTCTTCCTTCCTTCCTTGATATTCCATCAATATAATAGAACCAGCCATACATTAAACACAATTTAACCAACACAGCCACTGTCACAATTAAAAGCAACATTAATATTTGAACTAAAAAAGAAAATTAAAGAATTGAAATCAGGATATAAACTTATATTTAATGAATTAAAAGAACTAAGACAAAGAATTAAAAGAATTGGTATCAAAACATTAGAAGAACTGCTATATACAAAAATCGGACTCAAAAAGCAGATGGAAAATCAAGAAGGCAGAAGAAGAGGAAAGAACTTTATTTGGAAGAAAATAATCGCCAATGGAGTTTTCAGAAACGTTGGGTTATTTTAGAAGGATGGATTATTAAAAGATGGGTCGGACCTTTTAGGTTGGGTTAGAAAAAAATCTAGAACATCAGCAGTTCCAAATCACCAACCAAGTCAAAGTCCTGTTCGATGCTCAAGCACCTAAAAGACTCGCCAAATCTACCCGCAGTGAACCGGTTCAGTCTCGCCAACAACCTCTTTAGAAGACTTCCCTATTCCAGAACTTCACAATCTCCGATTTCTTCAATCTCAAGTACTCTGCTTTTGACCTTCTGCTAATTACTCTTACATTCCTTTAATAGAATGTAAATTAATTTTAATCTTTCTGATAAGTTCTTTTGAATTTTGATCAGGGTGGTAGTATCTTTTCTGAAAGTAATAACAGGTCGGAGCAAGAATAGTTTGTGAAAACTCGGTACTACAATGAGTTGGTTTCCATTGACCACTAAATAAATGCCACATGTTCAATTAAAATGCCCATCAATTCCATGTCATCTTTCCGTTAAGAGGGGTTATTTTTGAGCCTAAAAATAACATTAAGGGCAAATTTAAACCAATAGGTGGAAGGAAGGCAATTTTGAGCCATTTCTAATACATTAAGGGCATTTCTGATCCTTTTCCGTATAAAAAATAAAGTAAAGAGTGACTATATATATTTGTATTAATTTTTATTTGTGATCATTCAAACATCTCTTTAACAGTATTGTTTATTTTCGATATTTTCTGGCTTTTATAGTGAATGGTTGTTATACACGTATAACAGCATTTGACATTTAAATATTTTTTGGCTGTTATAAATAAAAATTATCCAAAAATTAATTTTCTTTTAATGTTACATTTAAAAATAAGAAAATAATCTTAAATTTAAATATTCGAAAGATATGCATATTTTACTAAATAAATATTAAAGAAAGTTAATACATTACTAAAAAATTCATAACTAAATGTATAACGATTTATGGGTCGTTTGGTACAATGGTGGGATATCTCATGGGGTGGGATATCCCATAGGATTTGTTATCCAACCTTTTATATGGGATAACTAATCCCATCATTTTAGTGTAAAAGTTATCTGGGATTAGCTAATACCCCAAATCAAACATGGAATAAAGTTAATCCTAAATTTTATATCGGGATTATTATCCTTATCACATGTACCAAACGATCCCTAAAACACACATTTTAAAGCTACAAGAAGTTGAATTCTTTCATTATTGATGGAAGAACTCTGTAATTATAGCTTTTTCCGTAGATTCCAATCTCTTACTAGCGATATAACGCTTGAATTGGTGAATATTTGTGTCCAAACTTTCAGCAAAAGGATAGCTTTCCCTTGAAGGCAATCTAAGAGCTTAACAGTTAGAATCATTTATCTCAATCCAAGCAGTAGTAAGTTGAGGTCAAAATCTTTAAACTTATTATTGATAATCTTGCTGATTCTATATGGTTGTTATAGAGAGGTAATTCTTTAAAGAGCGTGCTGCTATAAAGATGGATGTTGCTTTTATAGGCAAAATGTTGTTATATAGAAGTAAAATATAACATAAACAATCGACTCTGAGAAAAACTTGTCTTTGATAGTGAATGACTGTAAAATAAACATTTTGTTACAGAGAAGTCTGACTGTATATTCAATAATAGCCCCAGAAGTGATTGTGCAACATGAAATATTTTTTGTCCTAATTACGCTCTTGAACTTAGCAGTTCGATAGCTTTCGCTCCCTTAAACGCTGACATGACAAAGAGAGTAGATACACTCTCTTTTAGGCACATGAGAGTGATGAGAAAAATCAGGTTTCAACTGGGTATTTTTCAACCGTTAATTTTCACATAGACATATACAAGCCAAAATTTCACGGTATAGCCAGTTTTCGGACTGGTCAATAAAAAATAGCCAGCGTTTACCAAGTCAATGAAAAATAGCCACCGTTTTGCTGCAATAGAGAGCGGTCCAGCATAATATACTGGAGTTCGGTGCACTTGTGTATGAACTCCAGCATATTATGCTGGACCGGTATACTTTTCTGGCTCCAGTATATTATACTGGACCATTATACTTGCTGGAACTCCAGTATATTATGCTGGAGTTCTAGTGTATTTATGCTGGAACTCCATCATATTATGCTGGAGTTCCAGCATACTATCCTGGAACTCCAGTATAATATGCTGGAGTTCAAGTATACTTATGCTGGAACTCCAGCATAATATACTTGAGTATTTTCCGGCTTTTGAACAATGTTTTCGCTCAGATTTGTCTTTACATAAAAAGTGGCTAAATTTCGATTACTTTTGAAATTGGGCTATTTTTGAAACCAGTTGTAAATCTGGCTATTTTTAAAAATCACCCCATATACAACTGTGTATTTTCTTACTTTTTCTTAATATACCACACAGATCTTACCTTAATTTGTAATTTTTAGTTTTTTTTTTCCTGCTGCAATGGCAACGTTTTATTGTCTTTTTTTTTTTTTTTACTCCAAATATGTAGTAAAAAAGAAAACACTAGACTAAATCAATTATTTTTAACGCGATAAAAGTTTTTTGCCAAAGTAATAGTGTTTCAAGTATATATTTCATTCTATTTCTTTTTAGATGCAAGATAGTTTAAGTATTTAATTTTTTTCTAGGCCAACTGAATAAATAATCGGATAAAGCTTCATTAGTTTAACCAGATAAATATATTGTAGCTAAAATAGCTCAAACTATTAAATATTTTTTTTATTTCTTATTTAACTGCAACAACTTTTGGTCCCAAGTATATACTTTTTCCCCCATGGAATCTATATAAAGATTGCTAGAACTCCATTATTTTTCGTCAAATACAATATTTTTAGCTAAAATAATGGATTTCAACTTTGTATTTTTGTATTTCATCTTTGGATGCGATGACGAGTTGTTTCAACTGTGTATTTCATTTATTTTTCTGAGCCAAATATGTAAAAAAGGGAAAAAAAGAACTTGGGTGAAACTCCAACATGTTTATAGCTAAATAAAAGAATAACTGATAATGATGTTCCAACCATAATTCTTACAAATTTGGCTGGAAACATGATTTAAAAAAATTAATGAATTTAAAAAGGTAAAAATTTTATTATTAAAAAATAGCATGTTGACAAAAAATATCCACGTGACAGCGAGTGTATCACACCTCCTTGGGCTGCGGTCGTTCAGGGCGGTAATAAAGACCAAAACCAATTTAGATTTGCACAAAATAAAATGGTTAAAATAGCACGGGCTAGCCAGTTTTCGGAC